CACCGAAAACGGTGGCCGGCGGTGAGGTTATCGGCGGTACAAGGCTGTCGTCCGGTGACCGACTTCCCTCCGATGAGGGAAGTTAGAGAGAGGCGAGAGAGTTTAACAACTCTCTCAGAAAGAGAGAAGAAGAAGAGAAGAAATGAGGATGCTGGCCCTTCGGGCCAGCCCTTTAGGGAAATATATATCCCTTCCCGAACGACGTCGTTTTGGGAAGAGGTATATGCGTAATTTACATATATGGACAAACCTCGTCCGTAGTCCCTCGAATTTGTAATTTTATAATTTAGTCACTAAATCAGTTTATGATCTTTTTAATCTGGTTTAATAATTTTAATTTTATTTATTTTAGTCCTTTGCATAATAATATATATTTTAATTAAAATAACCGATTTAGTCCTCGTAACTTTATTAATTAATATTTTAAACCCCGAATAACATGTTTTTATTTCTTTTAATTTGATATACGAATTTGATATAATTTTAATCTAGTCACTAAATTAATAAAAGGGTAGAATAACATATTTAGCCACTGAAATTTTAAATAATTAATTATGAATTAGGTATTTAATTCTATTAGGTTATAATTTAGTCACTAATTTCAATTTTTATTTATTTTTTACAAGTTTTATTTATTTTAAATATATATAGTTTTAATTTTGTTCATTGTTTAGTTATATGTTAATTTTATATGTTTACTTTTAATTATTATTACTATTATTATTATTATTTAGCCATATATATATATATTTATTTTATTTATTAAAATTTTATTTAATTACTTTTAACTTATTTTAATCCTGTTTTAATATTTATTTATTTTTCAATATTAAGAAAGGGCAGTCTTAAAACAACTGGATGTCTATTTTCTGATATTTTTAAATTAATAAATATCCTATTTTATAAATTATATATTAATTGTTTTAATTATTTATTTATTTTTTAATATCGAAGAAAAGAGCTGTCTTAAGGCACCTAGAAGTCATTTTCTGATATTTCTAAATAAATAAATATTTTATTTATAAATATATATAAATTAATATTTTTTTTTTCATAATTATAATTTTGAAATAATAGGATTATAAATTAAATATATTTTGAATTTTTAAATTTCTAATAATAGAGACAATTTATAATTAAAAAGTATCAATTTTGGGCGTTGTAGGGGTGCTAATCCTTCTCTAAACGTAACCGACCACGAATCCCTTTTTATTATTAAAAAAGAACGAATTTTTGGTTAAAACGCAGATCAGTTTATCTTTTAATCGATGTTTTCTTAAAAACTCTTTTAAAGGATGATTTTTAGGTATTCGACCTACCTGACCCAAAAGGCCGATGGCGACTCCCAAATTATTTTAAAAACATTTATTCACATCACTTTTCCCGCCAAGTAAAAAATTCGTGCCCAGACGAAAACCGGTTACGACACCCTCCTCCAAAGGATTTCAATTCCATCATGTTATGGATGAAATTTACTTTCTCTCCCTTGATGGAATTGGATTCCAATTCCTCTTTGAAAACTTGATTCAAACATGGGAAAGTGATGAAATTAGATTCCAATTCTCTCTAATTCCAAGAGATTCCAGCGAATCAAACGTCACCTGACACGCGAAAAGGGTACCTTTCAAAAGCCAAGAATTAAAGGCATCCCATTCCTACAGCCGGAGGGAATTGAAATTCGTTTCGGCGGTGGGAATCCACTTCTTGCTAAGTTAAGGTACCAAAGTATTTGCTCGGTTCCATCTTAGCGCAAGGGATCACTAAATATTCCAACTTTACCATCAAACCAAACTATGAATTTTATTAGGCGTTTCATTTATTTAAACAACCATCTTTTTCTTCTTTATGAAGAAGAAGACTACCATTTTAATTTAGGCTTATAATTAATAGGTAGCATAAGGACAAAGGATAAGATGATGATAATGATACGTCTTCATGAATTCCGTGGGTCTTCTTCATCAGCCACCAGTTTTGTTATACAACCTTTCCCATGTAACAGAAACTATTGTATCCCTGTTTTGAAATTATCAAGCTTCACGGGTAGAGTTTAATAGAAATATATGTAAAAGGGTCTACTTTATTTATTACTATATCTTATCTACTCTATGTTCATATTTAAATTTAATGATAAGGATAAATTCTTTAATTTTGAGATTTTAAATTTAGGTTTTATTATGCGTGAATTTTTAAATTTAAACTTTATTTTAGTTTTATTATGTGGTGTACTTTCTTGACCTAATTCTTTGGGAGGAAAATCTCAATCTTTCATCAAAATGTTTGTTGGGTGATCTTTTAAACGACGAAGTCAAAATTAATTTGTAAAAAAATAAATTATTTAATTTTAAAATAACGAGATTTTAATATATAATTAACCCATAAATGAGAATTTTATTAATATAGATATTAAGCTTTTTAATAAATCATAACAATGATGTTTTGCTGGTTGAAAATCATTTGAGTGGTAACACTAGTATCAATGATGTCAATTAAAAGTTGGGTGATGATGTTATTTCGTGTAATTGCACCACTTACGACGGACTAGATTACGCAGGTTAATAGTCAATTTAATATTATTTTTATAAAATTAATTTAAAAATTTAAGAAACAACAATCACAGTGGTTAGGGGTGATTATCAAACGAGTTGATGGTGAGTTAGGAAGTGCTCAATTCGTTCTTATTAAACGTTTTTGTTGTTCAACTTGACTTGTTGCTCGTTAAGCTCATTAAAATTTTACTCAACTCGTGCTCTTTAAGAAAATTTGTTGCTTGACTCATTGCTCGTTAAACTCACCAATTTTTTTTATCTTATATTTTTTTATCTTATATTTTTTTTATATGAAATGACCATCCAGCTCAGTTGGTAGAGCACAAGGTTCTTAACCTTGAGGTCGTGGGATCGAGTCCCACAGATGATATTTCATAATTTGGAGGTCTCCCACGGAAGCTGCTCCCAACCTGGCGTTGGGTGCAGCCTACTATCTTACCTCCCCCTTACCCCATTACATATGGGAATAATGGTCAGCTAATTTTTTATATAGAGCTTAATATAAACATAAACTAATAAATTTAACAAAAAAAATATGAAAAGAGTACACGAAACAATTTTAAAGTTTAAACTGTAAAATAACAATCCATAAATACATAAAACTAGTAAATTAATAAATTAATAGTAATAATTAATTTATCATTTATCATATTTCTTATTATCTATTATTTATTAACTAATTATTAATTATTATTTAGACTTTCTTTTTTTAATGAAATAATTTTTAAGGTAACTATAAAAAATTAATAAATTGATCGTGAACTTATCCGGTCGAGTTGAACTATGGGTATTGGTTTTAGATATTAACTACTTTTGAGGTATAATTATTAGATTGAAAGATGCAATCATATCAAAATAACATTCAAAACAAATAATGCTCCCAAGGAAACATGATGCAAAATCAAAACAAAAACTCAGCTGAAGGAAGAATCAAAAAGAAAAAAACGAACAAGGAAAAAGCCAAAGGACCAAATCCACATTTGAAACCATCTCCTGTGCACGATCAAGGAAAAGGCAAAATAATAAGGATGGCTATCAGTGTTTGGGAGGTTAAAGGGTAAATTTTCAGTTGAGATTAGGATATGAGGGGATAAAGATGTAGATTTCGATGGTGAGAGTAAAGCTTGATGGTGTTTGATTTAGAGTAGAAAATCAATGGTGGCGGTTGTCAAAGCTTGATGATGTTTGATTTACACTTGATTTGGGCCTCTAGTAGGATTGATGTGGATTACTTGTGGAAATTGGGCTTACTGTTGTGTTTGACTGAATGGCATTTAGTTTGAACCCATGTCAAATTTGGGCCTTAGGCTCTGGTCCGAATAAGAATAGGTGCCAAGTTTTGAAATACAATTTTTTATATGTATTTGTGATTTTTATGTTTGTAGACACTGATTAACAATCGGGTCTACTTTAAATTTCTCTTCAATTAACGTTAATTATTAGTATTATTACTATCATTAATTCATTATTACTGTTTATTATTATATTTATTAATATTATTTAATATTTATTCTTCATTATATTAAGACATACGTTGTAGTCTTACAAAATTAAGCCCAAAACACTAAGGCAACCTGGAAAATATAGCAAACTTAAGCTCCGGCGCCACCAAAGTAACAAGGAGTCACGTGCATGCAACCTACGCGGGTTCGATGAGCTCCTCCACGCACCGATAAAGACCCCATGACAAACAACCATTTGTACCATTATGGTGCGTTTGGTTCACGGAATATAAGATTATCAGTGGGAATAAGATTATCGGAATGTAACATTACCTAACACATTACTGGGAATGTTATATTACCGTGTTTGATTTGTTTGACAGTAATGTAAGATTACAGTGTTTGGTTGAAAGAATAAAATATTATTGAAATGTATATTTTACCAAATTGACATTGTTCTATATTTTTCTACAAGTGAAATTCTAATTATTTAAATAAATAATTATTTATATAAAAATTATTTATATAAAAATTCATCGATAATATATTTAAATAAAAACATTTATATAAAAATTCATCGATAATATATTATTTAAATATATCATATATTAATTTAATTTTAATTAATATTAAATTTTACATAATTTATTTAAAAAATATATTAAAATTTTACTTCAACATAATTTACATAAAAATATATCAGGTTCAATTTAGTGATTTTTAACTTTTACTATGATATTGAATCGATCATGACGATAATTCCGTTAGGTAATCAAATGGATAATAAATATGGTTGTCTCACATGACCTAATGATATACCAGGTTAGTTGGTTTAACACGCCAGATCAATGTTTTGTTACCTCCAATAATAATTGTTAACAACAAATAAAAGCTTATTTAATCTATAATTCAAACCTTACTGATTTTATGATATAATTAGTGGGATATATATATTGAAATAAAAGACAAGAAGAGAAAATGAAGGTTCTGAATCAGAAATGTGCGTAAATTATTTAATATGCAATCCGAAAGAATCTTACACGAAATGTTATTCCTAGTTTCCTACTTGAAGAAAGCATCAGATAAGGAAGCATCTTCAAGTTGAACAATTGTTTTGGTGTGAGCTCCCTTGCCTGCCTCTCCACAGGAAAACATAATACACAACAGGATCAACATGTCCCATGCTTCATTCTCTCATCCCCTTCCTGCCAACAACATTTGTTCAAGTTCTTCTCTTCGTCTCTCCAACTCTTGCACATCAACACTCAATGACACTATTCTAGTTTCTCTTTCTTTGTTTTGAAAAATCATGAAATCAACACCAAATTGTAAAATCTCCAACATTCATCATCGTGTAAGGTGTCTATTAATAAATATTTAAAGCAATGTTCGCCACTGCCATGTAATTAATGCATTACTTCTTGAACCCACTTAAATAATGTGTTAATGCTAAAAAAAACTTTCTAAAATGATTACTTAATATTCCTTAATTGGTGCTCAATATCCGATCAAAATCATTTGAAATGCAATACAACAATGTGTTCTTACAGCTCATTTGTCAGCTTAAGAACACTTTGAGTATAATGTGGTTGGAGAGGTTTAAATCCTTAAAGAGGCATTCACTGTATGACTAGGCTTATAATTGATCAAACAAAAGAATGCAAAAAAAAAAAAAAAAAACAATCATCAAGACAAGATGTAGACCAAAAAGGCCAGATTTAAAGTCTCATAGCTTACCTCCAGATCCTTAACTGCTTGTTCCCTTGTAATTTCCTTTTCTTTGCGTGAACGTTTGAGAAAGCCAATGCATAAAAGTCCCTGACAAATTATCGATACAATCAAGTAGTAAACATAAACTCAACTCAAGCCACGGCTCTGAACCCCTAACTCCATTCCACCCCAAACTATATTTTTCAAGACATGAAAGTGGAAAATAAACCTTAAACCTATATTGCTTCAACTCTTCATTTTTTTCCTTCAACTATCCATGTGCAAGTGTTGGACATATTTTCAGACATAGATGATCATATCCTCCAAATACATGGGAGAAAAAAGAACTTACAAAAGTTAAAACATACCCGCATTCGACACAGACATTTATCCGACACAACACTCACATCCTAATCTGAATAACATAGCCCTAAATTATAATAACTGTTGAAACAACTAGCCGATAGATAGGCACCATGAAACTAAAACCACACTTATAACACAAGATTAAAGAAAAAGGAAATACTAAATCTGTAGTTCAGTTGAATTATCATAAATCATAATCTGTAGTTCAGTTTAATTATCATAAATAATAATCTTGGTCAGTATTCCTTCAACCTTCATATCCGATTTTAAGTTAGATGGGTCTAAATGAACTTGTGGGACTTGGTTGATTTAGCCTAGAAATTCTCACCAAAACATAAGACGATAGGCTCATTATCTTACCGAAAAAACATATACTAGACCGCAAGCAAGGAACACATAGCTCGCTATGTTCTGAAGAAGTACAAGATCCCGTTGACTCGATGAATATTCAGGGAAAACTCTTGTCATAACTGCAACACTGAGGCGAGTAACAACAAATTTAGAAATAATTTTTTTAAGTGCGATTATTCAACAAAAAATTGTAAAATCAAGTATTATTGCAATCTAGAAATTTGGTATTACAGGGTAAAAAAAGGAAAAAGGAAAAATCTTACTGCAAAATAATGCTAAAGCACCGGCAGACCACCAGAAAAGGGTCGGGTGCCGACCTTACTCTGGCGCTCGGAGGCGGTCTCGGCAGCACAGGCTCGCTGCCCTCTGGATCTTCATTTCTCGAAATTTTTTTCGGTTCACCTATTTCCCTTAGATCTGATAAAATCCCTAATAAATCAAATTAGTGAAACATTCTTGGAATCTCTTGTTCCAAGTCGAAGAAGAAGATTTCAGCCAGAGAATGCTATTTTAGACAACGAGACGGCACCCGAGCGCCAGAGTAAAACGGTTCGGTTCGGTTTGGCTTTAGTTTTTAATTGACCCTTGGTAGGGCTGAACAACGAAATCGAGAAAATCGAGAAAATCGAAAAATCGATACGAATCGAGTAAAATGGTTCGGTTCGGTTTGATTTGGCTTTAAACGATTCGGTTTTCGGTTCGATTTAAAGGCTTCATTTTTTTGATTCGGTTCGGTTCGGGTTTTCTATATGGAACCCATTTGTTCCATATTAAACCAAATAGACAATTTTTGTAAAAAAAATTATAGTTTCAAATGATTTTTTATTGAAAAACCGATAAACCAAACCGAATCGAACCGAAAAACCCGAACCGTTAAAAAAACCGAACCGAACCGAAAAAACAGGTTTCGGTTTTTTCGATTTTTTAACTATTCGGTTTCTGTTTCGGTTTCGGTTTAAATATTAAAAACCCATTTATTTCGGTTCGGTTCAATTTTGATAAAAAAACCAAACCGAACCGAATACACCCCTAGCACTTGGTGATCTGACTCCATCCAAACGTGGGTATATTCATTTGGAAAAAGAAAATTCCTCCTAGGAATGAATGATATCGTGAACTAAACGGGGTCTAAGGGTGTGTTTGGTTAAGAGAATGTGAGATTTTCATGAAAATGAAATCCACATTCACATTCCCCCATTTGATTGGTCGGGAATGTCATTCCCGGTAATCTTATATTACCAATAGTAGATTTTTTTGGGTATATTACCGGGAATGTCATTATCTTATTTTCCTTAGGTATTTTTGGATTACCGACGTTTTGGATTAAAATGTCCTTAAAAAAATTTCTTTAAAAACTATCATTAAAAACTATCATTATTATGTTATTAAATAATAAAAATTCTACAAAGGTTAAATTATAAATTAATCTATAACTATTTTAGATTTACAAAAAAGTATATATATAATTAAAATTTTATATGAAGTTCAGGGGTTAAAATAAAATTTTTACCCTTTCATTAAATCTTTTTATATTTTCAATTTTATAAAAAAATTATATAAATTTTATGAATTTAAATTTTTTAAAGAAAATATATAAATATTTTTTAAATGATTGAAAAAATAAATATATAATAAGAACAATTTAGTCAAATATACATGGATAAACTCTCGATATAATGCACTCAAAATAAATAATTCACGAAATAACGTTCTCCCAAGATTATTTGTTGAAATAGGGCGAAATCAACAGTGTGGCCGTAGGTCGCCATGCCTTCCGGGCGACCTACGACGTGGCTTGCTTCTGTGCATGGGACATGCACAACCCAACCATAGGTCGCCATGCACTCGAGGCGACCAAGGATTCATGCATGGGGAGATCGTGCCATGCACTCGGGGCTCGGTTCATGCATGGGGCACTCGAGGCGACCAAGGATGACCAAGGATCGGTTCATGCATGGGGCACTCGGGGCGACCAAGGATCGGTTCATGCATGGGGCACTCGGGGCGACCAAGGATCGGTTCATGCATGGGAAGAACGGGGAGATCGTGCATGTGTAGGTCGCCATGGAGTCCTGGCAAGGTCGCAGGCGAGCATGCAGCAGGGGATGTCGCCGCGAGTGCATGGCGACCTCCTTGGTCGCCGAGCGTGCATGGCGACCTAGGAGGTCGCTGGGAGTGCATGGCGACCTACGGCTACTGTTAATTTCGCCCTATTTCAGCAAATAATATTGGGAGAACGTTATTTCGTGAATTATTTATTTTGAGTGCATTATATCGTGAGTTTAGCCAATATACATTCTAATAATCTTTTATTCATTTAATCAAAAATAATAATCTTATATTTCTGTTAAATCAACCAAACATAAAATACAACATTTCCAGTAATCCTATTATCTGATAATTTTTTATTCCACCGATAATCTTACATTTAAATAAAAAGCACCTAGGTACTAATTAACAGAAATAGAAAGAAAAATACATGGAAGCATTGTTTTGTCATTCTAAAAAGGATTTTGAATCCTCATAATTGAAAGTAAATCGAAAAATGGGAGATTTCGAATTCTAGCAGTGATTGAATATACCAAAAGATGAAGCCTCCTTCAGGTATAAAAATTCATTTGATGCAAAAAAGGAGGTTACAAAGTGAGGGTCTAAAATGGTTAGGAGAAGAGAATCAAAACAAAAAAGAATCAGAAATAGAGAAAATGGGAGTTCTTCCGTTCGAACGACGTGTTATCCTGACGATCGGGACACCCATCCAAAGGTTCGAACAGTGGGAAATTTTCTTACGTTGAGGGGACCAACATATTTAAAAATCGAGACTATCCGACAGTGTAAGATGCAGATCAGAGAATAGACAACCGAACAGTTTCTTGGCCATTTCGTGGTGATTGAGGCATCTTTTGACTAAACGGAACCCAGATCCATCCTCCAGGCAACAAGACGGAGCTCCCCATGAAATTTGGTTGCGAATGGAGATCAACGTGAGACGGTAAAACCTGATCGATAACGATAATTGCGCCAGTTCTATCACCGACTTTTAAGAATTGGAGCGAAGGAGTGTAGAGAGAGCTCTCTCTCATCTCTCCATCGACTTAAGAGAGGAGAAATGAACCAATTTTTTATTAAAAAAAATTGGTTTTCATATTTATTAAGCGAGAAAATCGCCTCAGTGACCAAAAAAAAGTTATAATATACGATTTTAACCAACTTTTTTTGGATTTGCCAAAATGACCAACAAAATCGCAACGCGAAATAAAAATCGCAACGCGATCCCCAGAATCGCAAATCAGTTTCCAGAATCGCAAATCAGTTTCCAAAATCGCAACGCGATTCTTGAAAATCGCGATGCGATAGTACAAATTCGCATTGCGATTTTCCATAATCGCAACGCGAATATGAAAATCGCAACGCGAACACATAAATCGCAACGCGTATCCGTAAATCGCAACGTGTATCCGTAAATCGCAACGCGTATGGGTAAATCGCAATGCGTATCCGTATATCGCAACGCGTATCCGTAAATCGCAACGATAATACATAAAATCGCAACGCGTATCCGTAAATCGCAACGCGATATTTAAAGCGCCATTATAATCGCTACGCGTATTTTATTTTCAAATTACAAAAAGAATATTAAGACAAAATCCCGTAATCGCAACTCATAACCTAAAACCTAAAATCACAACTCAGTCCCATCTCCATCTCTCACTCTCTACGGCGAAGAAATCCGTCCCCATCTCCGAAGATTTCCGTCCCCATCTCCGGCGAAATCCCTCACAACCATTCACGGTCAGAAATCCCTCACAATATTCAGAAATGGAAAATCAACCTCCGAGGGTTAGTTTTTTTAATTATTTTTATTTTGAAATGTTTGCATTATTGTAGGTTTTTCATATTGAAACTGATGATAAGTTTACTGGTCATTTCAATAATAGATTAACCATTTCACTTAGATTTCATTTCGCGTTACGATTCTGTCGTTGCGATTTTCATTTCGCGTTGCTATTCTCTCGTTGCGATTTTCAAGTTAGTATTTGTCTTTGTCTTTGTTCTGTCTTTTGGTTGAAGTAATGCAATCCATTCAAGTTTCAATTTGCAGAAGAGTCGCAACGAGATAAATGAAAATCGCAACGAGAGAATGACTGTCGCAACGAGAGAATCGCAACGCGAAATGAAAATCGCAACGAGAGAATCGCAACGCGAAACCAAAATCGCATTGCGATTTTCATTTCGCGTTGCGATTCTCTCGTTGCGATTTTCATTTCGCGTTGCGATTCTCTCGTTGCGATTGTCATCTCGCGTTGCGATTCTCTCGTTGCGATTTTCATTTCAACCAAAAGACAAAACAGTGTTGCAAATTTTAGTTTCAAGAATAAACTACTACTTTTTATGTTTATTGTTTTTGGTATATCTTCACAGTGTAGTTTTTGGTATATCTAACTTGGTATGTTTATTGTTTTTGTAGAAATTTTTTCGGCTCAATTGACCTTGAGAAATAAAGTCAGCCTGGCCACTACAATTGCAAAGAAGCTTTCACCTGCTCAAAGACAATTGTTTGAGGAAACCTGCTTCGGGCCATGGCTGAGAGTACAGCATCCGGGTGGAGATGCTAATTTGACCCATTTGTGGCTTCAGACCATGACATCAAATCTACCCGACAGTATACAACGTGGTGAGGAAGAGATATGGTTTCATTTTCCACCAGCGTATACTTGCTTTGGGCGGAAGGAGTTCTGCTTAATCACTGGTCTACGATTCGGACACGATGATGTAGGCCGGTACACTCGTCATATCGCCCGCCCATCATGGTTATCCCGGGTTTTTCCGGATGAGTCAATGGAGAAGCCGAACCTACATGTTGACGACCTGAAGAAATTATTTAATAAGAAAGCTGGTTTCACTCGGATGGAAGACGTCGATGTTGTCCGAGTATGCCTTCTACTACTTGTGTATGCCGGCTTTTTAGGCAGAGAGGCCAGACAACCTATTCATCGGGAGCTAATAATATTGGTAGAGGACCTGAATGCATGGAATCTGTTTCCGTGGGGTTCGTATATATGGAAAGCTACCTGGACTAAGTTGTCGTCTGCCTTTGATGACCGCAAAAGTTTGCGGGGCGATGGGTCCAAATACACTTTGTCAGGCTTTGTTTGGGCCTTTAAGGTAAGAATTTCTATATAATGTTTCTAAAATTATAATTAATTATTTAACAATTACTAATTTTGTTATTATATTGTTTGTAGATTTGGATATTCGAGGCTTTCCCCAGCATGCGTACATATGCAATAAAAACGTCAAATGATATTCCCAGGGCTATTTCCTGGAAGAGGAAAACTCTGTTGGATTGGGAAGACTTAATACCATATGCCACAATAAATAATGTAAGTTAACACAAATACTTTCATATAATATATAAACAAGTTATTAATAGTAGACGTTTAACTTTGTTTGAGTTTTTATATTTTAGGAGGCCAA